CATTTAAAAGAGAAGTCGTCCCCGTACGACGCGAAGGGGTAAAATCAATTGCTATGAGCAGTTAAAACCGGAAACAGGTGGCATTTCGCGTCTTTAGTTCTGTTACGAACACCAACCACTTTGAAACAAGTCATTCAGTCTCTGGTTTTGTCACATCTTGAGTACTGTCCGGTCATATGGTCATCAGCAGCAAAAACACAGAAATTACACAGAAATTACAAATAGCTAAAAACAAGGCTGCCAGACTAGCTCTCCACTGTTCGAAGCGCACTCATATTGGAGTTATGCATAGAAACCTATCATGGCTTCCAGTTGAGAAACGTCTGCAATCTCGTGAAAAAAAACACTGTATTTTTATGATCAAATAGTTTACACAAGAGACGAGCATGACCATAAGACTAGACAAGCTACATCAGGCCACCTACTGGCACCTAAACCCAGGACAAATCTTCTGAAATCTTCTGTGTCTTATAGAGCTATAATGGAATTGAACTCATTACCAAACTACCTTACTGAAATAGAGTCCAGAGCCTATTTCAAGAAGAGATTGAAGGGCCATCTACTAATGACCATGTACCCTTGTGAGCTGTGAACCCTAATTTGATTTGATCTCATGCTTTGTACTGGTGGGTGTCTTGTGCACTCATCCTTGGCTGAGATTGATATTGAAAGTGGATGAGATTGTTGATGATGTTGGTGATGTTGTTAATGATGTCAGGACTTATGTCTTGAATGTTGTTGTATTGTTGTATTGTTTTAAGTGTCGGACCCCAGGAAGAGTAGCTTTTGTCAAGAGCAAAAGCTAATGGGGATCCTAAATAAACATAGACGCATACTGTATATATAAATTACCACATTAAGAGGAATACAAAATAAAAATAAAAATAAAAAGGTACAGCAGTCAATATATACAAAAATAGCAGTTACTTGCAGTGTGCAAAATAGTATTGTGTTCTGTAAGATGTATCTCTGCAAAATGTCTTTTTACCAAAAGAAAAAGTAAATAGTTATTCTACGTCACTTCATTTCAGATGGAAATACTGCACGTTATGGCAGAAGCAGAACATTGTGAACTTTCATGCTTAAAAAACACTTCCTTTTTTCATAGATTTCAATTCCCGTATACAGATTACAAGTGTGTTGTATCAGAATTTTGGAAGGGAACAACAACTTTGTGAACAAACACGAGGACTGATTCTCCCTGCTGTTCATTCACTTTTTAAGATTAAAGTCTAGATTTTTAATCAGTGATTTTAAGTCCACTGTTTGACGTTACCTTATTCATCAAAAATTAATATTAGTCAGCACTATTCATTTAGATATTGACAGGGGCATACCGTGTCAATATCTAAAAGAGTGTAGAGTTTCAACGTTTTTCATGCTACATTTAAAGCCAAATTGATCACTAAAATTCAACTACTACACTACATTCACTTCAGATATTCAAGCAAAGCTGATCTGAGACTGAGACTGTACAAAGGCTGGTAGGGGCCTTGCTCTAAGACCCCCGAGGCGAGGGATCTGTTTGAAGCCACGCTCCCTGTGGGAAATCCTTCAAGGGTAAACAGGCTTGTGCTGCCTTGTGATGCCAGAGGTTTCTCGGGGCATTATACTGCTGCAATACTGCAAGGATAGTGCCTCTGAAGGGAGTTTAACCCATTATAATAAAAGAGAATGCCAAATGTGTTCAAAGTACAGTGTGAGTAAACAGCATACATACATTAAGTATTGACAAATTACTGAGCTGGAAAAATTGCCAGATGTACTTACGTCCTGTAGTCTGCATGCTATGTAAGTATCATTTTAAAAGGTTGTTCCTCTTACCTTGTTGCATATGCATTTAGGAGCTTATTGTACAAATGGTAGGTAGAGAAAAAACAAGTTAAATATGTGTTCCCGTCATTTAATACAACTCACACAGCAGCTGGTGCAAATAGTGCCAGTAAATTAAAAAGGAGGCTGTGGCTGGGAGAAGAGAGAGATCTAAATGGCACAAGAGAAAAAGTGCACAGTAAACTATCTAGACATATCTGCAGGGTATGCATGATGAGAAGGTGGAGTTTTTTTATGAATCTGTTGAAACAGTGCCCAGAAAGTGTCAATACTGTTTGACAAACACAGCAAGTCTTCAGCTAGTCCAGAAGAAGATGGAGAATTATTCCCTACTCCTTCTTTACCTGAGATAATGTGTGTTCTCACATTACAGTTTTGCTGAGTGCAGCTGTAAATAACATCTGAAGACAACTCACTGCCCTGAGAGACACAGACATGGGCAGGGCAGAGGAAGGGAACTTTAAAATGGAAGGATTGAGTTTAGCCTCTGGGGAAGAGGGCAGCATGTCTGCATGACACACAGCCTCTCTCCCCCGGCTAGACAGCAGAGGGGAAAAATAAGCTGTGGTGATCAGATTAGGATTCAGGACATGGAGCGGATGACCTAGAGACCAAGTGGTTTCTCAGATTTTATGACACAAAATATGACGTAATATGCTCAAACACACACAGAGAGCAATATGACTGTATGCCATAATCCCTGCTGTTTGCCTGGTGACACGACACTAAAACTAGGGTGTGGTGTCAACACCCTACAGTAGGGATGTGACACAATTTATATTTCTGGTTTGTCTAGCTTTAATGATGCTAAGTTAATAAACGTGTTTGTTTATTCTTCAAACCTCAACTAACTGTTGACGTGTAAACTAGCCATGATCCCTTAGTAAATATTGGTTATATCAAATTATAATACATTATACTGTCAGACTATTTTTCTAAATAGAAAATAAGAACACTCCAAGGGTGTGTCCACCTGTAGCATCTTCCAACTCTTTATTGTCAGACTGAAGTCACCAATCATTTCAGCCAGAGCCTTGATTCCTAAAGTATACCATGGGATCACAACTTGTGTCACGATGCCAAAGTTATGTTGTGGGAAAGCTATAATGGATTAATAACGCTAAACATAGTACCCTTAAGTTCAGATAAGGGGCAGTAAATGAATAAGAGTGTGCAGACATACGCTACGTAGCTTGAACGTATACACAAACACAAAACAAGACATTCAGTGTTTTGCCATCAGTTTGCTTCTGTGCCCTAACAAGCGTTTGAACAACAACCACTGGGCACTTGACAGTGGGAAACTTCACAATGACCGGCTTAGATGGCAGACATGAATCATCGCTAGTGTTTGTGAGCTTTGTGGATCCAGCAATGTGCAACGGGTTGCTGGGTGGGGGGGGGTTTGCATTCAGAGAACTCACAACAACACACACATATTACAATGCTCAACACAGAGAAGTAATGTTTGGGAGCAGTTTCATATAACGTTATTAAACCTAGAGCTTAATTTAGGCCCTTAGTCATTTGAATATTTCTTGCAGTAGTCCTACAGTGTGTGGTCTTCAATTTGAAGTGATGCTGGAGGCAGCAATACATATTGTAAATTGAAGATAAACATTAATTTAAAAAATCTTGTTTGCATTTATATTGTGCATTTACATTTGTTTGCTTTAATCATAATAAAAGTCAGGCTTTTTTTGTTCACTTCCTGGTACATGTATAATCTTTTCAAGACAGATACAAAGTTCGGACCATCTTTCTGTTTAATGTTATCATGCTTTAGTTGTAATTCAGTGGGAAAATAACTGAAAAAATGAAATCAGTGATTTTGCCGTTAAGCCTTAAAGTGGACCTATCATGCAAAATGCACGTCTTTTATACATGAATATGTGTCCCCGGTGTTCCAGGGAACTCACCAAGTGTCAGAAAAGACAACCCTCTCTCTTTTGCTCCGTACCCAAATCTTTTAAAAACGGGGCTACAACAAGCGGATACAGATTTCATTTCGAGCTGACGTCAGCCCGGAATAGTGTTGTTCACACGAGACGTGTCCGTTCACACGAGACCGCTCGAAAGCGCTGGAGACGCTGTAGTACATATGCCAGGCATGTAAGTGGCACTGTAGTCCTGCCACAAAAGCAGCAAAGAAGACTTCCCACGCATGGTTGCCCTTCTGTTTATTCTCCGCTGTGGACGCGCTGGCTCTTTTTCTCCCTCCCCGAGGCAAGCGTTTGCTCCTGTTGTAATTCTCTCCGGTAGTCCACCAGCAGATGACAAACGCCGACCTCTCCGCCTCTTCCAAGGGACGAGGGAACCGTGCGGCAGAGTTTCAGTTAGATTTTTTTTCCGCCGGTCAACATGTCCGTTAAAGTTTAAATCTTCAGGACAAAATTAGAAAAGTGCCGGTCAAAGGTCTTCTTTGTTATTTATTGAGCTTTAAAACAAATGAATAACGACTCTATAAAATAAAACACGGAGGACGGAGCCTCTCTTTTCCTCCCCCTCTTCTGAGATTCCAGCAGCTGATCTCCCTCTCCTGCAGGGGGGCGTGGTCAGCTGCAGCTCATTTGCATTAAAGCTACGTCACAAAATCAGCCCTTGCAAAAACAGGGCTGGAAAGAGCAAATAGAGCGAAATGAGGCATGACTAAAATGCATGATCTGTTATGTATTTTGAAAAAAAAAATTCACAGACATGTTTTATATAGGTATGGCCCTACAATATATTGTTCAAATATAGCATGATAGGTCCACTTTAAAGCAAACTATCGAACTATTTGATCAGACAAACACCTCCAGCACTCACCTTCAGTCCATCGCTGGGTAGCCGATAACCAAACCGTGCAGGCAGGTCATCAAAGTTATCAGTCTTGTTGTCAAATGAGTACTGAAAGATGAAAAGATGAGGTTTGATTACTATGATTCAAGGTATTTCATGGAAGTTGATGCATTGTCAACTTCACTAAGTGACTTAAAGACACAAAACCTAGACGTGAAATACCTAAAGCACCATGTTAATGCTGATCTGCATAGGCGGTGTGTTCCTAATGCATACCATTGCTATATTATTGTTGTTCTTTAGATTGTCCTACATGTACTAAGAATCACTCACAGCTGCGATGTCGGCCCCCACGGGCAGCAGGTTGAGGAAGGCGAAGAGCTGAACGGTGAAGATGGTGTAAATCTGTGTGGCCGAAAGCATCAGCATTCCCAGAGACAGCAGCATCTTGGCATCACGTTACAACCCCCAGCTGCTGTGCCACTCACTCATAAACATACACAACCATAAACACACACACACACACACAAATGACCACACACACCGGCTTGCAGTGGAAGCGCTTTCCGCCGTCTGTTGTCCTTACACCTGGAAAAGACACCAAGGTTACGCCTTAACTTGCATACACTGATGAAGTAGTATTGATTAATTCAAATACAGACATTTAAATGTTATTCTGGAGAGCTGTTTTTTTTTTGTCCTAACGCCAAAAGTGGTGTTTAATGCTATGTTCAAATGTTAAATGGTGCCAGTGGTTGAAGCAGTGCACTGTCCAAGCCTCAGTCTATTCTAATCCTGCATCTGGTTTTTCGATTATCCCACTCCACATGTGTCTGTCTCTCGAGGTTGCTGCGTTGTTGAATTTATTGGAATTTTAGCTTTCAGAGCCCATGGATCATCTATATTTCAATACTGAATTAAATCTTCTGCTACATTGACAAAGCAGAGCTGATATTCTTGACAGCTGAAAATCATTTTGTGTCAATAATGCCCCTTCCCACTCTTTCTTTTCACAGTTCATATATGTAAAATGATACAGACAACCTGAGAAGTGCTGTAAAGCTGGCTGTGTGGATATACACCAGGTATTCTGGAGCATCTGTTTCTTGTTGTATTACTTGTTCATTTTAAGATGTAAAAGCAGGAAGAAGCAAGTGGAGAGTAGAGGCTAGGGCTGCATGATACTGGAAGAAACGGACATTGTGGTTTGATAATACAGGAATTTTCACCAGAAGAAGTTAGCTTTAATCCTACTTCCACACAACTGAACTTAAGTTTCTCTTTGCAACCAATTATATTAATAAGTTCATGTACAGAAGTTAGCTTCAGGCCTGACATCCCAGCATAAGGGGTATGAGTTCACACAGCGGAGGGCATTATTGTGACTGGGTCAGGAGAAACCAACCACCAGACTTTAAACCACTAAGCTGTGTGGTCAAGCTGCAAAGTGAAGTAAGGTTTGAGGATTACCTGTTTTGTTTTGTACAATTTGAGGAAAACATGGCAGTTTTTCTAATTATTGCATCATGTCTTTGTGTGCAATGCCACCATTTGTCAAGGTTATATAAAGTGGCCTCTCACAACTGTACTGTAGCAGTAGTGCTTTGAATAAATAGGATAGAGCTTTAGTAGCACCTTTATAACAGCAGCTGCCCCTAGGCTCTGGAACAGTCTGCCCCTCCATGTGAGGTCGGCCCAGACCCTAGGGTTCTTTAAATCCTCACTGAAGACTCACTTCTTCTTTCTCTCTGGCCCTCTAGTCAGAGCTGAGTACGACTCCTGACATTTCCCTGTGTTTTGTTTTTATATTTGCTGTTGTAAATGATTGTCTTTTGTTGTTATTGAAGTAAAGTGTTTTTATTACATGTACAGCATTTTGGCTCGACAACAAATCGTTTTTAAATGTGCTCTATAAATAAAACCTGATTTGATTTATAGACAACATGTTACACTATGTTTCAGTATCACTAAATAGCTGCAAGTCAAATGTGGAAACATGTTAATACTCATTTTGTCATAACATGTTCATACAAATTTCAAAGGTTACCGCAGAGATCCTGATTTGCATGTTGCTGCCTCTAACTAAACCAGTGTTTGCATGTATTCTAGTAATAAGCAGGCGGAAATTAACAATACCCATTGCAAAATTATTAATTATATTAAAAGGAAAGTCACATTTTAGGGTGAAAATGTAAGTACTAACAATTGGGCCTAAAACCAATAAGCCAACTGATATATTTTTCAACCAAAAATCTGCTAAAACAATCCTTTCTTAATCAATAATGCCACCTGCTTTATCTCTTCATAATTCACTTTTAAAAAGTTCAAGTTTTAAAAAGGGAGTGAGGCTTCAAAATGTCACATTCCTCTCCTCCCATCTTACTAATGCTGCTGCCGTCCTTTCTGATGGTCTCCACACTCTATAATTAGCACGGCAAAGCCTGATATGTTCAATAGGATTAATAAAATAGTAAGACATAACCAGCCTTCATGGTCAACTTTTATTTATATTGTATAATTGCTTATTTTCTACTCTTTTTTATTTCTAATCATGTGCAATACTTGTTTTACATGCCGATGCAACAAAAAAATGTTGCCAATTTGGGATTAATAAAGTATATCATATCTTATTCTTGTTAACACCTCTCCAATCGAAGGTGCCCAAAACAAAATGCTAAATGATAACATCAAAATTCACAATATCCAAAATGTAACTCCTGATCTTGATCATTAAGAGAAAAACTATTATGGATTATTCTGTCATTTTTGACAAAATAAAACTACAAACAACTTAGGTACTTATTATGTTGATGCAAAACAAATGGGAATTAAATATAACCATAACACATTCCTGCTAACTGAAATGAAATATAACAAGGAGAGCTGAAACTGAAATGTCCCTTTTCTTCTTTTTCTAACAGTATACCATACCCTTATGTTTAACTGCACTATGTATTCGTGTCATAATGTACAACATGTCACACACATGTTTGCGAAAGGCAGATGTTGATTTCTTAGATGACCCGCTTGGTGTCACTAAAATGTATTGTCAATTTAAACAGTAGCTTACATATGTGACTAAATTCCAATGAAACACATTATTATGGGATGCACAAACTCTGATGCACGACAGTCAGAGACATTACACCAAACCTGGCTTAGACAAAAGAGGGTCCTCTTAACACAACACCCAAGGGGAAGTGAAAGCAACATGTCAGGTGTGCACAGATGACTAAACATCAAGTGACAGCAGTCCGATTTTATTGAGAAAAACACTATAAAAAGGTAAAAGTGCGACAGCTGCATTTACAAACAAGAGTGATTAAATAAGAAAAAAGTTAATGACGATCATACAGTTGACTACAATCACCAGACTTCAGAAAATGGTGTTAAACTTTCAAACCCTAAATCTCCCGTGACTGCTGTTTGGTAACGGTGTCCACTCCAAACTGCTTTTATATAAATATCATTTGTAGCGTTAGTGTCAGTCATTTTCAGATAGCTACAGTTGTTTATAGTATTGTTATACACCTTAATAAAGATGTGGACAGCCTTAAAGACGTGCATCCAGCTATAAAAACAGAGCGTCCTGTACCCATGTTAGCATAGCGCTAACACAGGAAGCTAGCTGGCTTGTCGTGGGTGTTTACATGGTGTTTACCTTTATTTCTGCCTGGAGGTTTATCTTGTCCAGGAATTTAACTGCTGGTGGGGACATCGCTCTCCTTTACTGTTAGTCTTGTCAAGGCATATGCACAACAGCGAAGATTTTGGATGGACTTCATCCCGTGTGGACGGCGTGCCAACAAATATGAACATAAACGTAACAGTTTAATCTCCGCCGCTAGCTTCACATCCACCGCTTCATGATCAGGTTCTGATTGGACGAACCATCTGCCAATCATTCAATTCCGGAAGTGACTCCAGACGTAAACATATCCACGTGACAGCACCATGGGACCATGGGACAAGCAGCAGACAACCACTACTGCCTTTTACAGTGAACTGCCTGAACCAGCAGCCGTCAGCTTGTATTTACAGCTTTATTAAAGCTACATCATTACATTAGGAGATGACCTGGCAACTGAATGGAACATTTGAAGACATCATTTATTATAAATAGAGAAAGTTATTCCTTTCCTTGGCACCCTCCCTCCTCAAAATAAATCGTCAGTGTCCGTTTTTAATCTCTAGCAACCTCTTTAGTTAATGATATGGATAAAAATAAGTCTGAGATCAAATAGATTGAAAGACTTTGAGGTCTTCCTTCAATTAACAGTACACTACATAGAAATAAATACCAACATGAAACAAAATGTATTTTCAGCATAAAACAGTATTTAAAAAAGGTTTGGAGAACTATTAAAAAAATGTCCTTAAATACATCCTAAAAAATTGAAAAACATAACTTTCAAAGTTTAATTTTAAATGCATTCTGCTTAAAAGGATTGAGTAAAGAATTATGCAAGATTTATCTAAGTTTTATTTGTGTCCTGATTGACTTCAAAACATCAAAACATCAAAAGTTACAGATTTTGATAATTGAGAAACCTTGAAAAACCTTGAGAAACCTTGAGAAACACCGAAAACATCGTCACTGTTTGCTCCAAACCCGGATTAAACACAAAAAGGATGTGCACAGCTTCAGATTTTAAAAGGTCAAATGCAAATTAGCAGTCCCCTGTAAAACTATCAAAGAACATTCAAGTTACTGTAACGACCCTCCAATCCACTGTGAAAACAGTGGTGTAAAAGGGAGAGTGCAGGGCTGACGTCAAACCGCTGGGTTTGAACTTTTTTCCAACTGTGTTGACACATTAAACCATTTTCATTTGTTCATATTGTAAATTGTGTTAGAATTGAAAATTGTAATTCAGTACATAACTTATTATTGAGAATCATAATCTTGTTTATTATAGGTTTTCACTAACATTACAATTTGCTTTGGTGTCTTGATGCATTTATGGTTTATTGCACAAATCAAGAAAAGTACTACAACAATGTAAATATGCTCTAATATGTTAGGTACTTTATTTGAGTCCGTCAGATATACTGATGTACAACATTTCCTGTCTGGCTGTGTAATGTCTACTTTAAGAAAGTAAGTCCATACCTGCATTTGAACTTTGTGACTTTGAGTCAAGGCATTTGCTATGAGGTATAATTGCTGTTGTATAAACAGCCTGTTGTATAAACAGCAGCAGGTCATGTAAGCAGATGACATTAGACTACATTAAACTTCAGTTTTGTGACTCAATAGTGTGCAACACAGTATGAGATGTAAAGCATCTCTTCTTCAAGTACTCAATATACATTAAAGGCCTGTATCATTTTGAATGTTTGTTATTTGTCATTATAAAATCATTTAAGACTTTTGACTAAGACCTAGCTCAAAGATTTCAAATTCAATACGATGGCATTTAGGATGCACAACTATTTAATGATTTATATGTCAAAGCATTGTCTTCTGTTCACTTGTTATGTCCTAATCTCACAGTAGCTACCCCCAAACCCACCCAACTCCTAACCCCCTCCCTACAGTGACTTTGGCTCTCACAAACTCACCGCACACACTCCTCGGGCCAGCCAGACTCCACAGAGGAGCCAAGCGGACGGAGGACGGATGTCCTGACCATGAGGGTCCTCATTTGCTTTGGGTCCTCCTGTGAGCCTTTTGACATCCCTCCCAATCAGACTGTGGGGGCCATAAAGCAGATGATCAAGGTAATAGAAAGCTCTAAACAGTGGTGGCCCAGGAACATCATTCATTTCTTGACATGCTTTGTCTGTATTTTGAATTTTATGACGATTTGGACATATTGCTGGAGTAAAAACATTTAGAAATGTGGTTGAATGAATACATGTATAAGGGACCGCAACTGATAACTTATTATGTAAATACTTGCAATAAGGTTTTAAAAAAGACAAACCAAAAAGCTAATTCAGTCATAGACGCTGAGCATTGTCTATCAAGAATGTTTTCATGTCTCTATCCGGCTCCATACATTTCCACTGTGTCCCTTTCTGTAGGGTAACTTTCTGGTACAACTCTCAGATGACAAGCAGCACCAGTACCTGGAGCTGAGCTACGGCGGTGCCGCGCTGCGGGAGAACTGGACTCTGTGCGACGTGGGCATCACAAGGGGCAGTGCCATCCGATGCCTGATAAAGGTATTCAAATATGAAAAGGGTTTTGAAATGTGAAACTATTTTGTAATTTGCAGTAAATACGATCAGCTTGCAATGATTCACAGAGAGAATGCTTAAGTCCACGTTTTCTTCAGGCCTATACTATTATTTTTTAGAGACAACCCCCTAGGAAAAATACTTACTTTTATCAATTTGTGGAGAGAAAGTTACTTATACGCTTTTTACTCTTGGAGCTGGAGTCTATATTTATTGTATTGCTCAACAACACTTTAGTGGAGTTTATGCTTGATGACACCGGAGCTTTATGTTTCCTCATTCACACTATCATGGAAATCCACATTCAAAAAAAAAACGTCTTCACATTTTCACTTAAAATGAGTATTGTAGGAGCCATATGTTAAAATTTATAATTTGATATTATGTGTGTATATATACACACATAATATATATTTGAACATTGTAATTCTTTGTTATTAGTATTATTATTTCATTTATTTAAACCAGCCGTAACTGCTTACATATTCATTTATTGGGATTTTTTCTCAACAAAGATATCCTTGTATTGTTTGTCACATCGGTGTTATAATATAGTAGAAGATGTTCGAACAGCTGCTGAGCAATGAGTTTAATGCTGTCTGAGATCTTTAGTTTGTCCCTTTTAGTTGTTTTTTGTTATTGGGAAACATTCCAGACTTGTCACCAGGCAACCTTTTGTAAAAGCTGACAGTGGTGAGCGTGGGTGTGTGTCCCTTTGTCATCATTTTACATCCTCTTGTAAAATAGTTGCCTTCTACCAACCTTACCTTATATCCAGGACATGGTTAAACTGTACACCTCAGCACGTGCACTCCGCTCTGCATCGGCCAAACAGCTCGCTGCACCCGCACTGCGAGGGGGACCCAAATTCCCATCAGCAAAAACACGTGGGTTTGCTATCCCGGCTCCAAAATGGTGGAATGAGCTCCCCATTGACGTCAGGACAGCAGAAAGCTTACACATCTTCCGGCGCAGACTGAAAACTCATCTCTTTCAACTCCACTTCGAGCGATAGAACTATTAACAAAGCACTTATATACTAATAAAGGACTGGCTTATCTAAAGCCAGTTGAGTAGCACTTGAAATGTTTTAGCTCTATGAAAC